TGCTGCCTGAGAGACACAAAAAAAGACAGCAGAGATTAAGTGATTTCAGCAAGACGACAAGTTTTAACAGGATTCACCAGAAGCTTCTCAAACATCTCATTAAAATGAATTAACTAGCTGGTGAGCATGTGAGCGAGCTTTCTTTGTCAGACTTTTTCAATGGAAGGAGACATCATTTTTAAAAAGTGCCAACATCTCTCGTTAAGGTTTTTTTTCACACTAAAGCTTCAGATCATCCTTTTCATCCTGTGTCATGAAGCTTAAGATCAAAGTTTTAAGAGCATGTTTTGCAGTTATTTGTTGAAGGTTTAGGTCCCAAAAAACGTGTTAGCCCAGGTTTTATTGACAGTTAAACAATCCACCAGTTGGCCTCAGGGCCAAATGGTGCTAAATGCTGATTGGCTCACAGAAATATGACATTATCTTCATACTGAGCAGCGCCAGACAATCATAAAAGGGACGTGACATCGAAAGGAATCCTGAATGGAAATATGTTGGGGGAAGATTGTGGTAGAAGTGTAACTTTTGGGGAGAAAAAAGGTTTTAAGACTTGGTTAAATTAACGTTAGTTGAGATAATCCTTTAAAATAAATTTCAGAATTGCTTCTAGAAGGTATTTTGCCCTGTGCACCCTAAACTGAATGAAATAAACAAGCAGGAAACACTTGGACTTAAAAATTTAATCCAATGCTAAAGCACCAAAGCTTCAGTTCCTCTAATGGCTACTTGAGGCTGGCTTCAAACATGAGTCAATCCCCATACACTCCCATGTTAAAATGTCCAACTTTACAGCAGAAATAAACATGTTTACAGTGTCTACGGATAGTTTCACGCTTCATAATAATTTAGCTCATACATTTGGATTTTGCTGAGGTTTAAAATTAGGAGCAAAGCTGCTTTAAAAGACAGATGTTGAGGCGATTGTAGGTGGACCAGGTTTTGACTGTTGGTGGCTTTTTATGTAATTATCTGTCAAATAAAACGACTTTACAAAGATCATTTTCAGCAAGAGGAATTATGATAATTAATGTCATTCAGCAGTAGTACGACTAATTCATCCACAAATCACTGGTTCAGGTTCCTGTTATACTTGTGTCTCACCTGGATTCACTGCATTAGTTTGGAGGCCCATGGCCATGCCCACGCCCGCGACCACGACCACGACCGTGACCATGACCACGGCCAGGGCTTCCGCTCCCATGACGATGCCTGTGTTTGTGCCCGTGTTTTCCATGATCACCCTCGCCATCACTGCTACTGCCACTGCCGCTCCCGCGGCGATGCCGACAAGAGCTGTGGTCGCTGTCATGTTCACGGTCCCTCTGGCGATCGGGGCTGCGTCTCCTCTGACTGCCATCATGATCATTGCCGTGGCGATCACCTCCACGGTTGTCATCTTTACGGTAGTCACCTCCACGGGGCTCATCTCTATGGTGATCATCTCCATGGCGATCATCCCCTCCATGGCGACCATCTCCACCGTGGCTCCCCTCTTTTCCATGGTCTCCTTTAGGCTTCTGTCCCCCGTGAGACCCCTGGTCGCCCGCCTGTGGGCCCAGGTTGTATCCTGAGGGGTGGTTGTCTGTGCGAACATCAGAAAATAAGTTTTAAAAATTAAAAATTCAACTATGTCAACATAGTTTGTTTTTTTGCACAAAACAAGCCAGCAGATTTGATCTTTTTAAACATTTACTGCATTCACCTGGAAAGGTGAGGCTTTTAATTTGTGCCCAACTGCACAGGATCAGGAAATGGGAGATAAGCTGTGTGTCTTACCTGTATTGCTGCTGAACATGCTTGTCAGTGTCAGGGTTTGTGACGGATGACCCACTTATTATGGTGCTGAATGAAAGAAAGCAGGGAGGGGGCCCGTTCACTTCTCAGTTAAACCAGTTTGGCTGAATAGCTGTGTAATTATGGGTTTTGCAGCATGTTATTTCTGAACAGTGTCGATCTTTGTAGTAACCAAAGAGAGATTTTGTTGTTTCAATCATATGATCGTTCGTGTTGTATTTATTTTAAGTTTAGCAGTCAAAGAAAAAGTATAAACCTGAGGATGAATTATGACAAACGGCTGCATTTAGCTCACTGCTGTATTCAAAACTACTTCCAGCAGGTGCTGAATGTTAGTCTAATTAAAACTAAGTCTCTTGCTCCTTCTGCAAGACAAGTTTAGCTTGGATCTCTAGCTCTGCAAAACTTCCAGTACTTTCCCTTAAATATCAAACTCATAATGAAAGAAGATAAATGACTGTACTTACTTGATGTGAAGGGCAGACACCAACTGTACTTTCTGTGAGTGTCCAACAGATGCTCTGAGGTTTATGGGCACGGGCTGGTTTGGCTGCATTTCTTTTTTTTTCTTGCGTCAGTAAGGCAACAGGTAAAGAGAGAGGCGTTGTCTTTCATTTCACAAATTTCAGTTATCCTGCTTAACAAAGTTTATATCTTAGTTCAATCATAATGCTTTCCCTAGCTACTTACCCTAACCCTCAACACCAAAACATTTTGACCCTCAAAATGCCTTCAAACTCATGGGGACATTTTGTCCCCGTTAGTCAGTGTTTCTCAACCTTTTGGAGCCACGGCACATATTTCACATTAGAAAAGTCACACGGCACACCACCAAACAAAAGTGTCACATAAAGCATATTGATAATTTTCCCTGCACTCGAGGCATAGTGGAATTGGCTCAGTTTGTCCCCAGTACACTGCATTCCAAATTATTATGCAAATGATATTTTCCTCTGATTGTCCTAAACAGTCGATGCAAGTGACAGTCAGCATAATTTTCAAGTCATCAACCATTATACTGTAGTTGATGATATTCGAATGTTACTGAACAACCCTGCCAATGAAAACAGTATTTTATTTTCAAAAAATTTTTATTTTTCAAAAATAAAAAACTTTAAATGCACTGTTCCAAATTATTACACACAGAGTTCCAAAATATATTATAGGTTGTAATGAACTGAAAATGGTCATTTGTTGAATTTGCAGCATTAGGAGATCATATTTACTGAAATCAAAAGCTATTTCAATGAAAAACATATTAACATAGGAGCCCTTATTTGATAGCAGTTTCACAATTCTTGCATCCATGGAACTTGTGAGTTTTTGGAGAGTTTCTGCTTGAATATCTGCAGGATGTCACAATAGCCTCACAGAGCTGCTTTTTGGATGTGGATACCTCCCACTCTCATAGATCTTTTGCTCAAGGATGCTCCAAAGATTCTTAATAGAATTTAGGTAAGGGGAGGATGGTGGCCACACCATGAGTTTCTATAATTTTATGCTGATAGCAGCCAATGATGCAGAGGTATTTCTTCAGCCTGAGATGGTGCATTGTCATGCACGAAGATGATTTTGTTGTGGAAAGCACAGTTCTTATTTTTGTACCATGGAAGAAAGTGGCCACATAGTTTGCAGAGGTCATTTTCACACCTTCAGGGACCTTAAAGGGGCCGATCAGCTCTCTCCCCGTGATTCCGGCCGAAAACATCACCACCTCCTTGCTGACCTCACAGCCTTGTTGGGACATGGTGGCCATCCACCAACCATCTACCACTCCATCCATATGGACCATCCAGGGTTGCACGCCACTCATCAGTTAACAAGACTGTAGTTCATGTAGTTCTGGGCCTACTGTCAGCTTGTCTGCTTGTGAGCATTGGTTAAGGGTGGCTGAACAGAAGGTTTATGCATGACTGCAAGTCTTTGGAGGATTCTATACCTTGACGTTTGCGGGCCACAGAGGCATCAGCAGCTTCAAATATCTGTTTGCCGCTTTGTAATGACCCTTTTAGCAGTTGCTCTCTTAATCCGATATATTTATCTGACAGCTACCACCAGATTTTCTACCTGCTCATCTCCACTCGTCTAACTTCTGCGACTCTCTAATGCTATTCTTCACTGAAAAAATTCATAAGATACACCAAGACCTGGTTCCCGATGGTTCATTGTAGCCCCTCCTCTGTAATCCCACCTCCATTACATTGCCTCTCTGCCTTCCAACTTCCCTCTGTCACTGATATCGCTGATCTCATCTGCCTGTCTACCCTCTCTTCTTCCTCTCATATCTGAAATTATCCACTCTTCATTCACCACTTAAACTGTTCCTACTTCCTTCAAAGTTGCTGCAATTACCCCAATTCTGAAAAACAAAGAGGTCTAGATCTCAATAACCTTAATAACTTTCATCCTATCTCCAATATACCATTTCTCTCAAAAATTCTTGAAAACAATAGTTGCTTCAGAAGTTCACTTACACCTAACCAATAATAACCTCTATCGGCCTCTCTCATACTCCACTAGCTTGGTTCAAATCATACCTGTCTGACCACACTCAGTTCATTCAACTAACATCCTTCACTTCTCAGCCTTTGTCTTCTGGGGTGCCCCAAGGATCTGTTCTTGGGTCCCTCCTTTTCATCATTTACCTCTTTCCACTAGGACACATTTTCCGTAAATATAATATTCAGTGCACTGCTATGCCGACGACACCCAGCTTTACCTGTCCACCAAACCCGACTCCTCCCTCTCTTACCCTCTGTTTAGCCGAACTTAATTCATGGTGTTACGCCCCAGTCTAGGGGTACAGGAACATAACATAAGGGTTAGAAAGGAAGTGACCCTGTCCTGGCCCCCAAACTATACCCAGAAGCCAATCTTTGAAGTGAACGGTGGTTTGTGTCTACACTGAAAAACTCAACTTCGGGGTGAACAAAGGCCAAAATAACAAACAAAACAAGCTAAGTCAGGAAAGGAGGTGCTATCTAAAACCCTATGTGAAACAAAAACCAAACAAAAGACATGCTACACCTAACTCCCTAACTGAAATAAACAGGAGAAAACAGTACAAGAAAATAATAAGGCAGCTCACCCCTTCTGTTTCAGTGTCTATTTACAATGTACTATTTACAAGTGAAGACTAATTTACACATTATATACAAAGCTCAGTAAATCTCAGGAATGACACACGAATAACACAAGGTTTGGAAGCCAGGTTCAGGTCTGCTACTGCTGTCAGTCGCTGCCGCCAACAACTGCTGGTGAGGGATCTTTTAAAAACAGCCACATGATGAGGGGACCAATCAGCTGCCGCCAGCTCTGCAATCAGGAAGGACCTGTAGATTCTTAAAGACAAGACAGAAACAAACTCTAGACGGCCAGGGCCGTAACAATGGTTTTCCTCCAACTTTCTTAAACTCAACAGCAACAAATCAGAACTTCTTCTGGTTGGCTCTAAATCATCACTATCCAGAACTACCTGGTTTTCTGTTACTATCAATAAACTGCCGGTTTCTATCTCTCCCTCTGTGAAATGTTTGGGTGTCATTCTTGACTGTACACTATCCTTCAAATTCACACATTAATAATGTCACTCACTCAGCGTATTTCCATCTCCGTAACATCAATTGCCTCCACCCCTTCCTCACTCCTCATGCCATTCTCGTTCATAGCCTCGACTACTGTAATTAACTCTTATTTGGCCTTACACAAAAATCTGTCAATAAGCTTCAACATGTCCAGAACTCAGTATTAACACTAAGACTCCCTCTGCCCACCACATCACCCCTATTCTGAAGCAGCTTCATTGGCTCCCGGTCAAATCTCACATTCATTTTAAAATACTCCTCCATACATTTAAGGCTATTCATTCTCTCTCCCCACCATACTTTTCTGACTTGGTTCAGATCACCATCCCCTCCTGGTACCTCAGATCATCCTCTTCCCTTTCTCTTGTTCCTTCCTCTCCTCTTGTTTCTATGGGGGGCAGGGCTTTTAGTTGCTCTGCCCCTCGACTTTGGAACTCCTTAGCCCCTGACCTCAGAAACATCACTTCATTCCCTCTTTTTAAGTCCAAACTCAAAACCCACCTGTTTAAAATTGCCTACTCCGTATAACTTATCCATGATCTTAAACTTTCTATCTGCTACCCTTATTATTGTGGATAATTTTAATGTTTTTATGCCTGTTTTATTTGCTATACAGTGTCCTTGGGTGTTCTGAAAGTTGCTTTTAAATAAAATGTAAAATGTATTATTATAATGTGGACTGGCAAACTAATTATTACAGGTGTCCGAGATTGATTTCAGTGATCCAAAGAGCCCTGAGACACAATGCCATCCATGAGTTTAATTGAAAAACAACATATTTAATCTTTATGACACTTAAATATTATTTACATACTAATTTGGAATGTGCTGTATACCATTTTGGCTTTCTTGTGACCGCTACTCATGCTAGGGCATTCATCTGGGTCGGAATTTTCTCCAGGATCTGGAGACTGACTACTTTTTCTTTTCAAATATTTATCTATTGCTATTACGCAGTTGTTGCATGGCTATATGTAATTTCTTCTTCGTCTTCTGTTTTACTGGCATTTGGCAACCCATTTAATTGGACCAAGATGTTGTACTGCCCTCCAGTGGAAGAGAATTTAATTGTTCTTCCCGTTACTCACGTTTGCTTGGAGTACTAATCGGGTGAAACCAGATA